CTGTTGCGAAAAGTTCACGGAGCGAGCTTACTGGATTGCTGCTAAGGAACTTATTTTAAGTTACTATATTGGGGAAACCCTATTATTTACTATATATACCCATTATGGTAACTGAATTTAAGTTCCTTGACAGCAACCCAGCTTCTTGAAGCTTCGTGGGTAGATCGGTAATCCCCTAAGGCAGATTCTCAGGGGACCCCAAATGGGACAGAACGTCCCTCAGAAGATCACAAGGAAACGCGGGTTCTGGAGCCACCCTGGGGATCTACTGGAAAACTGCTTGCAAACCGCCATAACCCTGCGAGGTTCCCCATGGTCCTGCATCGCCCGACCCAAATTCACTGTTTCACCGATAACCTAAAGCCCTATACTACATAAGTTAAGGAAACACACGAAGAACAGCGATGCCTTCTCTGCCGCTTTGGCTGCTGCGGACTCTCCGGCATCCTCACAGGAAGGGGAATCCCCTGCTTATGCCCGTCATATGGGGGCTTCTGTAAGGAAGACCCCTTAGGATCAGGTATGCTCACACATGTGCAAAAAAGTAATATATATATATATACACACCTTTGTATACCTCTATACATGTGCGTAAGTAGATATACTGATTGACTAGGATGGGCTTCCAAGGGTCCCTGAGAGGAATCCTACAGAGACATCCGAATGCCAGTGTCGGTAAGGCAAGAGCAAAACCGACAGACCGCATCCTAACAGCCCCTGCGCAGGATCCAATCTTCGAGTCCCTCTGGTTTTGGTGAGGCTCCGGGCAGGTATAGTACAAAACACTCGGCACCCTATATGGTGGTAACAAAAGATTGCTATAGATGGACACAGGTTATGACCTAGTTAGGACTTGGAGTCTCCCCTACCCGGGCAAAGCTCGCTATCCCTTCTGGCTGAGTTGCATCAATGCAGAACTGCTTACTTACTGGTGGTCAGTCGGGAATCAGGGAGTGTATTATATAGGGAGTATATTCCCTTAGACTCCCTACTAACCACCACTAAGGTTTATGAGTCCCGCCTGGGGCTCTTGGATGCCCTCGCTTTGCGGTTCTGGCTTATCTCGAACCGCACTTTCAGTCGTCACGTGATCTGTGACCTCCCTTGCTGCAAGTTCTGCGTTGACGTCCTGCCAGCGCACCAGCAGCAACATCAACCCCAACTCAAGTCATGTTCCATGCAGAGGAAACCGTGGTCCCAAATTTGGAGCTCCGAATTATCCCGACAGTCTCTCTTAACTGGGGTGTTATTAAAGACGAAATTTATGATATTATGGATCCATTCATCTATTCCCCCTTAATGATTCTGTAGAAATACTTTACGAAACTTCGACATATCATTTGTGAGCCATTTTAAATAAACGTGCGCGTCAAGTTGCCTTGGCAGTACGCATAATCTTTCTTTTGGGCTACACTAAACTGCACGAAGGGGGCGAGCCCTTTGCATTCAAGTCGACCCTGTGCCAGGGGCCACAACCCTAGTACTGCATAAATCCCGGAATTATAAATTGGAAGTTTCGTAATACATGCCCTATCTAGCCCTCTTTTGGGATCCCTATGATGCCCTTATGATCTCAATATATGTCTATTCTGAGCTTCAGACTTCTAGCAAGACAAAGTAGGAAAATCCATATACAGCTGACTCAAAGAATCACGTATGCATTCATGATGAAGAGGGAAGTAACGATTACATTGCTGTGCGGTGAATAGAAGAACAATTCGATAACTTTACTAGCAACTAGGATTATGAGGTTTTCTACTCGAAAATACTTAGAAGGCTCCAAACTATTTCTGCATAGGTCGTCTTGCAAAACAATACGGGAAGCTAGTGTTTATCCAAGATGCCCCCTAGCTTAGCCGAGCTATGTAATTATTCAGGCTTCTGCTTTGGGGAACCTTGGAGTTAGATTAGGTATTAGGGTTTAGGGTTTGGGGTTGCAGGGTTTAGGGGAACGTGTAAGCCTAGCGCAACCCTTTATAAAACGGGTCCCTAACCCAACCCTAAACCCAGGCACCTCAGTTGCTTCGGGGGTTCCCAAAAATTACGGCCATATCGGGGCTATATAGGGTTTGGGATTTGGGGGGTATGTATATATACATAATGATAATGGAAAACCAAATGGAAACTGCGCTTCTACTAGAGATTCCTGTTCTCTGAAGCTGGAAAACTGTTTCTAGCATTTTGGGATCTATATTGGGGTCCCCCTGTTTATGGAAACTACCCTACGTACCTCTTGGGCTTTGTCACTCTCTGTGGCACATTACGGGGGCTTCGCCAAATCGGGGTACCGTTTCAAGGCATCCCCGGGATACCCAGGGAAAGAGACAAGATTGGCGTGATAGGGGTTAGGTGGACTCCCCAACCAGTAATAGTGACTATAGGGGATAATAAGGATTATACTAAGGTCCTCTTATATTCCTATTATGCCACTATTACAGGGTGGGGGGTTACTATTATAGATTCTCTTGAACCTTGTGAAAGCACACATCTGCCACATCAATGCCAAAACTCTCTTGAATTCCCGCCTGGGGCTCTTGAATGCCCTCGCTTCGCGGTTCTGGCTGGGCCCGCATTGTGCTTTCAGCTGCCACATGCTGTGTGACCTCCCTCGCTGCCAGTTCTGCATTTACGTCCTGCCGGGGCACCAACATCCACCCTAGGCACTGGTCCAGGCTACATGCACTGTGTCACGGCCTCATGATCCAAGATCTTCTCGCTTTGCCGCCCAGGCTGCGTCACCTTGCGGCCAAATGAGACATCAACAGTCCTCTTCTACCCAAGGCCCTCGTGCGCGGACAACTAGGCGAAAATCTGCGTGAGCTGGTGAACTTCACTTTTGACACGACCCTCGTTCCTCAAACGACAGCTAATGTCGCACCCGCTTTTGCAGGGGGGTCGCAATAATGAAATATTTCGGGGAATTATTCAGAATCTGCAATTGTTTGGGTGGGTTCGGAATAGTAAAATTGTCTGCTGCCCAAATACAAAAATATCAAAATGTCTTACCCAAGTCAGGCTTGCCTTCGAGGCCTTAAAGGATTTTACTTCCAGAGCTCTAGCACCAGAGCCTTTATCAATCAGGCCTGATATTATGAAATCCGAAAATCCGTAAACGCAGAGCAACCAGATCCATGTAAACCGCTTTTTCGCGATGCTTAGAAATCGTAGGGTCCGTCAATTTCTGTGGG